ACAGATCGGTTATTATTATATTAATATGTATGCTAAAAAGCTAAAATAATGGAAAATGGCAGCCATTTTAAATTGTAATAGCTCAAAAATGTGTACAATATTTAGTTAACTGTTGTTGTCATTGTTACAAGTGAATTTCCAATTGAATGCTGCATTTTAATAACATAAACTTACAATATTAGTGACAATTTTAGGAAAAAATGGCGGCCATTTTGAAACTGCTGGCAACCCCCCTTACGTATGAAAAAAAAAATGTTGCACATACTTTTTTGATTTATCAATGTCTACTCTACATCATATCCAATTTTTAAAAAATATAGCAAAAAAAAATGCAACCTCTGATATTGCTACATTTCGGACTGGACTTATATGCGCCTACTTGATTATGGAATGTTATGGGGCGGAAGACTGTTCCAGTAAACACAGAGCATATTTTGTCATTCTTAATGCGTCCTCTACGAGACTCTACCAGACAGCACTAGTCGGTGGTCTCATGGACTAATCGGAGATCTAAAGATACAATCTCTACTGTGCATCAATGGCGGCCCGCTGGATCTCAAAAAGAGAGATTCAATAAAAATATATAAATATAAATATAATATATAAATTTCTGGATCCGCCTCTGATTTTTTTTTTAACTCAAAATGAAAATACTGTATTACCTTACACAATCATTATTCAAAAAGATAAATCAAGTTATTGCAATTCACAAATGTACCCGCAGGGTTCTGGTTTATTGAAAAAGATTAAACTTTTGTTTAAGAAATTCAAATGTGGAATTGAATTTTTGTATTTTTTTTTTTAGCTCATGACAGACAGTGCATCTTAATCTCTGTGTATTTTATTTACTGATGCTAAATAACTTAAATAATTGTTCACAAACAAAAATAATAAATAAATTAATAATTTGAAAAAAAATGAAGGTAAACAATTATTTTGGAAGATCCAGGTTTAATTAAGACTGGTCTTATCACACTACTTCTGTTTCACGTTTTTGTATTGTATTTTCTCAATTAAATTTCTCTAACAAAGTTCATTCATATTAATCTAACGGTTCTTATGTGCATGTATGAACATGAAACGATGATATAAAGCGTGAGAAGGTCTGTTTAATTTAACTCCAACGTTGTTTTAGCTCTCATTTATTTATTTTTTATCCTTTTATTTATAATGACGAACAATGAAATTAAACATAGGTACACCAATACAACATTATGTTTTGACTCAACTTAAAACCTAATTTATTTTTGTAATTTTCACTATTCAGTTCATGGAATTCTTCTGCTGCTGTTTTTCAATTCTTCTAGTGCCGGTGGCAAGTTATTTTTTAACTGCATTACAACCATAAATTCACTTTCATCAGTGACAGGGGAGAGGGTGTTCTGTTCCCAAAGAAAGATTTCGCCACAGCCTCCCTTAAACCATCAGCTCACTACTTGGCAGCTATGCTCTCAACGTTGACTTTCGGGAGTAGGAATAGGCCTGGAGATAGGCTAGGTCCACTGTTGAAAACTACCACAATGAACAAGTTCTTTGGAATTTACTGTGTAGTAACAGATGCATATAATTGTTCCTATATTAATATTATTATTATCAAGTATTTTCTTTAATTTTATTGTTTTATCACAAGATGCACTCCTAGTATTGTAATACCATGGTTAGGCCTATATGAACATCAAGGCTGAAATTGCTTTAAGAAATAAGAATTAAGGAGTGATATAAAAATATCAAATGAGTTTTTTATTTTTTTTTAATAGAAAAACCAACAAATCAAGCTATAGTGACAGACAGTATATAAATGTTTAAAAGGGTAATCAGTACAGAAATATAGCATATACTGCTGTACAATTGAATTTTCTATCTTTGAAAAGTGTGAAAATACAGTTTTTTAGAACAAATTTTACTGGTGTTATTTAAAAAAAAAAAGAGTGTACCGTAATGCTTCTTTATTTGCCTGTTGTAAAACCCTCTATGAATTAAACATTGAATTGTTAATAAAGATCGAAAACAGTTCGGTTTTCGTAGCTTTATAAAAATCTTTAAAACAAATTATTTTACCAGCCGAATCAAATAAATGAAGAAAATGTGGGGCTTTGTATCGCCCGCTTTGTACTACAGAATTGAAATGGCCAATCAGAATGAAGGAACTATTTTGGCGGCGTTATTGTGATTGGTTGAGTGCGTTCAGCCACCCTGTAAGTCCTACTTTGCATACAGAAGTGCTTATAAGCACTGCACGTTCAGTTTCTTAGCATTATCGTCATTTGTTACTGTACTGTAAAGATGCCTCCAAAAACCTCTGGAAAAGCTGCCAAAAAAGCCGGTAAGGCTAAAGCTGTTAGAGCTGGCGACAAGAAAAGAAGACGTAAGCGAAAGGAGAGCTACAGCATCTACATCTACAAGGTGTTGAAGCAAGTTCACCCAGACACTGGAATCTCCAGCAGAGCCATGGGAATCATGAACAGCTTCGTCAACGATATCTTCGAACGTATTGCCGGTGAAGCATCTCGTCTAGCTCACTACAACAAGAAATCCACCATCACCAGCAGGGAAGTCCAGACTGCTGTCCGTCTCTTGCTGCCCGGTGAATTGGCCAAGCACGCCGTCTCAGAAGGCACCAAGGCTGTCACAAAGTACACCAGTTCCAAGTAGACAACGACCGCCTGATTCCAACCAAACGGCTCTTTTCAGAGCCACCAATTGATCAAAAGAGATTCGTAGTGTTGCCTGTCTATTTTGTTTTTTTATTTCATTTAAATGTATATAGGTGCCTAATGATTTCAATAATAATTGGTATCAATAATAATTGGTATAGTGACTATATTTAATAGCAGGCGAGTGCGTTAAGCTTACGGTATACACTTAAAAATTTTGCATGATCGGTTTATCGAGCTCAATTTTACTGTGTGATGTTTTGATCTTGCATTTACGCGTCCTTACAAAACATCAAATCTACATAAGATACACACAACACTAGATTATAATAATTTGTATAACCAGGGAACGGTGAAATTACTTTGTTCCCTGGTATAACGGTAATAAATTTAATAGTGTGGATGTGATCATACTGACTAAAGGCCTAAATTACTGTACTGTATTTAGAATTTAGGCTACCGTCGGTTTATTCAGCTCAATTTTACTGCAACATGTTTCGATCGTGCATTTACTTGTTCTAGGAAAATTCAAATCTACAGATAGACCTAGGCCTATACAATTTACAAATGTATATATATATAGGCTATTACTGTACTAATCATCCGGGAATAAATTTCATAGCGAGATACTGTATACAAGTAGTACAGGTATATGCTTATTCTATCCAGGTTCGAGTACATTATATTAGATTACAACGTACATTTATTATTTATTCAAGCAACAGTTACAATATACAATATGATGAATAAAAAGTATAGCTGCGTTAGTCTGTACAGTATAGAAAGTATAAAGTAATAAAAAACAGCAGCACTTTTGAGACTAACAATATACTGTATAATTTATTCTCTAGCTTTCGTCCACACAGTGGACTTCATCAGGTCTCCTGATGAAGTCCACTGTGTAGACGAAAGCTAGAGGATAAATTATATATTGTTTTTTTATTTTATACTTAATATACAATATATAATACAAATCAAATGAACATGGACATTGTTGAAATTATGAATATAATGATATGAAAATATACAATTCAATTATAATTGTTTAAAATTAGGAATATAGACTTTGATTAAAATGTATAATTTAAAAAAAATTATGAATGATGTTTAATAAATGTATACAAAATGATGAACAAAAGAGAGAGAGAAAAAGGTGTAAAATAACAGAACAAGAACATTTGAGCCTGAAATGGCAAATAACAAATGTATAAAACATCAGCATTCAACTGATACACTACAGTAATAAAAATTCTCGTTTAATTTGGATAGTATAAGCACTGGTACCGTATATAAGCGTAAGTAAACTGGTGAAAATATATCAAAATTGGATAGTACGTCTATAGAATTATTAAAACGGATTGTTTTTGCATTCCATCTAGGCCCCTATTTAACCTGTGAGATAACCAATGTTTGATTTCGAATTTATTCTCGTTTTTAGGAGGCAAATTAGTATGTAGGACTATATTGTTAAAACTATATTGTAAAATCTCTCGGGCATATGATGCCTTTTCCAGTATTTAATATACTGTGAAACTAGTAAATCTAAAATATTTTAAAGAAACGTAAAGTATTTTATTCAGACTTTCCGAAGAATTAAACCAAATAAGCATTATTAAAATTTCAACTGATTTTCGAAACTTTTAAAAACATAAAGGTATCTGCAATCATCGTTATACCAGCAAATTTAATTGGGTTTATGTAAACAATATCCTGTAGGAAATGATTACAGCATATCTGCTTTTTTCTCATTTAAATTTCAAATTGTGGCAATTCAAATAATGATTACAGTATTTAGATCACAACAAAGCATTATATTATAAATTGTAACAATATAATGTTTTCTACATGCCGCCGGGTGTTCACGCGCCTTTTCTCCTTGAGAGAGAGAACAAAGGAGTTTGCAGAGCGTAAGAGGGCGCCTTTCTAGTTTAATTAGAAGTGTGTCATATTACGTCCGTAATAGGTTAATATATTTGCGTCAATTCTTTCGAAAGGCATTATTCACTTCATTGAACAAACTCGATATGTCTGGACGAGGTAAAGGAGGAAAAGGACTTGGAAAAGGAGGCGCTAAGCGTCATCGTAAGGTGTTGCGTGATAACATCCAGGGTATCACCAAACCAGCTATCCGTCGTCTTGCTCGCCGTGGTGGTGTCAAGCGTATTTCTGGTCTCATCTATGAAGAGACTCGTGGTGTTTTAAAGGTTTTCCTTGAGAATGTCATCCGTGATGCCGTCACTTACACCGAGCATGCCAAGAGAAAGACCGTCACCGCCATGGATGTCGTCTACGCATTGAAGAGACAAGGCCGAACCCTGTACGGATTTGGTGGATAAGCTGCTGTTCATCATCTATATCAAACCAAAAGGCTCTTTTCAGAGCCACAATTTGTACAAAAGAGAATGATTGCATAGCCTGGCCTATGTATTTCTTGTGTCCGTGTCTGATTTCTTTAACAAATATATATGAAGTCCTAGGCCTAATATTATAATGATCGTAATTATGTAGCAACGGCTTAAACTAGGGTAGGCCTAACCTTGTTTAGCGAACCCGCCGCCACGAAAAAGTGAAGATTTCAGAAAAAGTAAAAATTTTTCTTAAATTTTTGTTATGCTCTCCGCTGTTTGCCACAGAATAATTAATACAGTAAATGAAATTTGCTTTCCCGGTACAATAAAAAATAAGGTACAGTACTAATAATATATTCTACAGAATAATGATAGAATAGGCTACAATTCACAGATATTATAAAAAATAGATAGAGCAAGAAAGAACAAAAAATTCTTAACAAATTTATCGTTCGACATTTTTTTTGTTTTGTATTTCATTTTTTGTTTTATTTTCAACAGCAGAAAAAAAACCAAAAAAGAACTTGTGCTTTCAGGGACACAAAATTACAATAGAAAAAAAGACTGGTTGACTAAAAATGTTTACGATGCAGCAGTACTAGTAGTAGTCCTAAGCATGAAATTAAAATGACACACTGTTGGCCAATCTAATTTATGAACCACACGGTATCCTTGCAACTTAACATAACACTGCAACAGTCATAAACCTGGAAGAAGCCCTTTCCATCCATTATTAAGGCTTTATATAAGCATGGGGGAAGAAAATTTTATAAGTAAGCCTATGAACCTTTATCAAATCTTATATAATGCCTATTAGTAAATTGCATAGTTACTTCATTATCATGCTCACAAGATGGTAATTTCAGCAATCTTCCTTGTTAAGCCAAAATTTTGCCATTTTGGACCATTTACATTATCAGCTAAATTTAAAATCTTGTAATAAATAAATCTTTGTGTCTAAAGCATTTGTTGATGAGGTAACAATTCTAGGCCCATACCTTATCTGCTAAAACTGACGTATTGTGAAGGGACAAATTTGACAAAGTGGGTGCTTATTTATCATTAAATTATACATGTTATTTAACATAGTAGGTTAAAACAAAAATCAAGACTATTTCATAACAAAAGTATTCATAGCTTTTAAAATTTTTTTTTAGTAAAGCTTCAACCTATCCACAGAAAGAAATCACTGATTGGATAATAATACTTTGGTAAACAATAAAAGAGCATTATTTCACTCCTATTTTATTAAGGTGTGGAGTTTAGTTGCTGTGTAACATTTTGCCCAAACTCAGTGCTCATATTTTTTAGCCGATTTCAGCTCAAAACTGTTTTTATTTTGTTTTTATTTTACACACTTTTCAAATATAAAAAAGATTAGTATTATTGTACAGCATTTTTTGGTTTTTCAAAAGAAGTCTCAGCTGACATTTTACGTGAAACTCAATTTGTTCTTATTTTGTTGTTAATTTTTAAGTAATATTCAGTCTGTGTTCTTATAAAAAAAATTTAAAAAAGTAAGTGGTTATGCTGTGACGTTTTTATGTATTTTAATGTGTATTTTGCTTCCATGTTTTAATAATATGGTGATAATGATGGTGATAGTAATAATGGTGATAATAATTTTAATTGTAAATTTGTTGTAATTCCATAAAATAAATACCATTGCCAGCTATTGGGAGGGACAGTTCCACATATTTTTTCTAATGGGTCCACAGGAGATGGGTCCACATTTTTAAAAGTAGGTCCAAATTATGTATTTTTATGCATAAAATTAGTACACATTTTGAAAAGTGGGCCCAGATTTCTCATATTTAGCTTAAAATGCGTAAAATTTAAGAAAATGTGTCCAGAAATTTCATATTTTTGCATAAAATGGGTCCACATTGTTTGAATTTACATATAAAGTGGGTCCACCCTGATTGTCCTGCACTGTTTTAAAATCCTGGCTATGGCATTGACCATAATAATGGTTGAAGTACTGTTTAGATAGTAGTATGTATTTTTTTTTTTTTTTTTTTTTGTAATTTCAAATTGATAGTATATTAAGCCTATTTTAATGTTGGTAGGAATTCTTGCCATACAAACAATGCTGTAATTTAGGCTTGGCTGCTAACGTGTTGTGAAGATTAAAAAAAAAATTGAATTTGAAGCCGTTGGTGGGCTTTGGACGACTTTCATGTGTTAGTATAGTCACAGACATGGGGTCTGTGCCTGTGGTATAGTATTCAAAGAAAGATCATTATCATCTAAAATCAGTGGGATCGTGTGTTTCATTCTTTTGAAAGTCAAAGCTCATTTCTGGTTTATAATATAGCCTAAATAGGCTTATTATATTTATAATACCGTTTTTACATCTCCCTGGTTATGGAGGCCCTATTTGATTTTTGGGGGCTAGCCTAGAGAGGTGGTCATTTAATTTATTATCTTTACATCCCTGGTCCTAAATAAAATTCCCAGGCAAGTTCATAAATTGCTATATTTTACAAAAATTATAAATAATATAGGCCACCCTATATGGCCTAGGCCTTAGCCTACAAGTTTCATTTTGATTGTTCCCCAAATATATTTATTCAATCTTCAAACAAAGTACCTAGTACCCATACATAAATTAGTAATACAATAATTTTAGTAATTAGTAATTCAAGCTAACCTCCTAAGCAGGCCCTAAACTAGCTATACTACCTAGGCCTATAGCCTATGTAGACTTTCTTATAAGTTTACATTAGCATATATTATTATTAATATTATTAAGTAGGCCTATTTATATGCCAAATTACGTTCTCTCTGTTCTTTAATATAATACATAGGCCTATATACTGCAGCCACAGGCCCTTTACTTTTCATTATTTTATTTCTTAATTTCATATTTATAAATTGATGTTTTTCGGTGTCTGTTCAGTGTTTTAACTACAGATCTTGCATAGGTAATACACTATTTATCCATTTTTAATGTGGGGTACGGTCTTCGTATTGATTGGGGTACTGTATTTCGATTAAATCTCTTTCTTTCATATTATAGAGAATGAATGCAATACGTTCTTATGTGAAATCCATTGTCTTCTTTCAGAACAAAGCGCCTACAGGATGTTTGTTTCGCGCTTCTTTTTGCGGACGTGAACTAACACATACAAGTACCCAATCAGATTGCAATGTTTCGACGCCGCACGAGTATAAAGTGAGATGTTGGGGGAAAATATTTTTCATTCATCAATCGTGTGTTGAGAAAAAATTCGAAATGGCTCGTACCAAGCAAACTGCCCGTAAATCTACTGGAGGAAAGGCTCCACGAAAACAACTTGCTACCAAGGCAGCACGTAAGAGTGCACCAGCCACCGGTGGTGTCAAGAAGCCTCATCGTTACAGGCCTGGAACTGTCGCTCTCCGTGAGATCCGTCGATACCAGAAGAGCACTGAGCTTCTTATCCGCAAGCTCCCATTCCAACGTCTGGTCCGTGAAATCGCTCAAGACTTCAAAACCGATCTCCGATTCCAGAGTTCTGCTGTCATGGCTCTGCAGGAGGCTAGCGAAGCTTACTTGGTCGGCCTTTTCGAAGATACCAACTTGTGTGCTATCCACGCCAAACGTGTAACCATCATGCCAAAAGACATCCAGTTGGCCCGTCGTATCCGTGGAGAACGTGCTTAAAGCTGTCTCATTCCTAATCAAACCAAACGGCTCTTCTCAGAGCCACTAAAGATCACAAATGAGATTTGAAAAGCAATTGATTTTTCTTGTGTTGTATTAATTTGTAGTATTTCCTCACTAAAACATAACAATATACATGCTGTTTTTGATCATGGCTGTGGTAAAAAAAAAAAAAAATAATAGGCCTAGGCCCCTAGGTGCGTATAGGGCCTATATTTATATATACATAAGTCAAATTTAAAACACCTAGGCCAACAACAATAAGGCATACCTAGGCCTAGGTAGGTCTGATGATACTAGGCCCCTATATAGTAAACAGTATCGAAATATTGAAAATTACAATGTACTGTACAATTTTTTTTTTTTATGTACAGTAATTAGGTCTAGGCGGTTAGGCCTAGGGGCCTAGTTCTGGGTTTAGGAATGGGCCTATTTGCGGCAATCATAATTTGTATTTGTAGGTATCGTATAGTTTAAAAACTGGTCAAAGATAAAATAATAGGTAACCTAGGCCTAGTAGTATAATTCATTGTAATGACAAAATGCTTAGCCTTAGGCCTGTCTGCACTGTAGGCCTAGGCCTAGTCCCTGGTTCTCATTCAGCTCTCAACTATAAAATAAAATTTTAAAAATACATCGTCATTTCATCATTTTTTTTTTATTAAAGCCTATAGGGCCTAGGCTTACATATAGATTTAGGTAGAGTAGGGGGCCTAGAGAAGGTAAAGCCTCCAAATTCATTTGAAATGAAAGCAAACTCAATATCATTAGGCCTAGTAGTCCTAGCCTAGGTCTAGCTAGGGGCTAGGTAGGTACATAGGCCTATTATATGTATGTATCCTATGCTCGTAATACATTTTAATAGGGCCTAGGCCTACAATTTTTTTTATAACAAATGTAAACTCGACATTCACACAACAACAGAGAGGAGAAATTATTAATATTTGTTGCTATAATATGCCTAGGCTGTGAGGCGGGAGTAAATATAATAATAACTGCTGTACAATAGTACTATCTTTGAAAATGTGTACAATTTTTATTAATACTAACACTTTCTTTTTACAAGAAACGGTACAATTTAACATAGGGCCTAGGCTTAGTGTTCTTTGCCAATTCCAGGCAAATTTCAGATGCATCTTTATAATAATTATTTTTCCCGAATATGAAAGATAGAAAACAAATCTCATGATGTTGTTTTGACAATAAAGAATATATGTAAATGATTTTTAAAAATTAGTTAAAGTGTAATGCAGTTTGTTTAAGAGCTGACCTTATGCTTTTGTACTGTTAAATACTGAACTGAACTTTTTACTGTATGTTACCGCCCTGTATGTATCTAATAAATATCCGTTGAGCTATAATTTTCAGCATCGACCATTATAATACTGTATGTTTTTTGACCGTGTACAGTATGCCTAAAAATTCTAATCTTTTGCGTTTTCGAAGACAATACATTTTCTTGTATCTTCATGGTGTAAAACAAAACCGTTATCAAAATTACCGCCAAAATGAAACAAAGCCATTTTGAGCGCACAGCGATATCAATGGAAGGCAAGCGATTGGTCCTTCGATTTGCTTTACAATCATTGGTCGACTGATGAAACGCGGACACGTCAGAAGCCACCCCTAAGCTATAAAAACAGCCGTGACTTTTTCAGGTCATCATTTTCTGTACTGTATCTATCAGTGACACCGTAATTTCAAATCATGTCTGGACGTGGTAAAGGAGGCAAAGCTAAGGGAAAGGCCAAGAGCCGATCAAGCCGTGCTGGACTTCAGTTCCCAGTCGGTCGTGTTCACCGTTTCTTGCGAAAGGGTAACTATGCATCGCGTGTCGGCGCTGGTGCTCCCGTCTACATGGCTGCCGTACTCGAGTACTTGACTGCTGAAATCTTGGAGTTGGCTGGAAACGCTGCCCGTGATAACAAGAAGAGCAGAATCATCCCCCGTCATCTTCAACTTGCCATCCGTAACGATGAAGAGTTGAACCGTCTTCTCGGAAGTGTGACCATCGCACAGGGAGGTGTTCTTCCAAACATCCAGGCCGTTCTCCTGCCAAAGAAGACCCAGGCCAAGACCAAGTAGACGAAACATTCACACTCAAACAAAACGGCTCTTTTCAGAGCCACCAAAAAACAAAAGAGATTTGAAAACTTTTACTGCTTGTTATAATACTGGTTTGTCTGTGTTTATGATTTTTAACAAAAGTAATTTGAAAACTGTATGCTCTAGTTAGGCTAGGCCTTTCTATCTGGATACAGTCTCAGATCATTTTGCACATGGGGAGGTGTTCTGCCTAACTAGGTATATGTAGGGCGTTACAACACTAGACTGGAAGACACATACATAGGCCTAGGCCTATGTATGTGTGATTGTTAGGCCTTACTTAGCCTAAAGACGCCCCTAAGCTCCATAGGCCTGGACACGATTAATATTAATAATAATACTAGGCTTAGTACTTGGAAACAATTCGATTAAAAGAACACCATTTCCAGCAGCAATACTGTGCTACACACCAGGATGGTATCAAATTCTTTGTAAAACTGTACATCAGCAATTAATACAGTAGATAAAATCCACATAACATTGATGGCTACAAGAAAAATAAAACATACGGTATTTGTGCATTTTTAGCCTAGACAACCAGTATTGTAGGACTTGGGTCAGTGTTTATTATACCAGGGAGTTGTTATTCTAATAACAACTCCCTGATTATACCATAGAGAAAAATGAACATTTTCTCTGATTATACTGACCCACAACAAACTTTTAGTTAGGCCTGTAATACTAATAGGCCCTAACTAAAACTTTTTGCTTTTCTATGTAGGGTCTATATTTTAGCCTATTTTTTTTTACTTAGTAGGCTGTGCTATGTGTGTGTATAAATGTTATACAGTATATAGGATAGTGTATATAATATAATGATACAGTATATTTATTGAGAACAAAATCATTAAAAAATCATTAGATATGCCAGCCAAGCTGAACTGTAAAATGTGTTTACATCAAAAATTAAACTAACATTAAAATTAGGCCCCATAAAAAAATTATTAGTTTATTACTCCCTCCCTCATCACTTTTGGGGATTTTTTTTTCAATCAACATATATTTATATTCAAATGGTCTTTTTTTTCACTGGAAAAGCTCAGGATTTCTTGGAAATATGTTTACTGGTACAACAAAAGCATATTTTTTTAAAAATATAAATCTATTCCATTCTGATGACTTTCCTATGTGTCCCTAACCATTGATTTACTTGTGAACATCGGTAAAATGGTGGCGGGATTAGTAAAAACAATTAAAAAAAAAACATCAGTTTTTATTCTTTGATAGGGTGATTAGATGTTTTTTTTTGTTTTGGGAAAATTACAAAAAAACGACACAAATTATCATATTCATGACTAGGCTAATAAGAAAGTACATTACATTATTTGAATAATAACATTAAAATTACTGTACAAACAATTATTTCCATTGCGACAAACAATATTATTTAAATTACAATAGGCCTTGTACATTAAAAAATACATTTTCTAATACATTATTATAAACTTTAATCCAAAATACAACTAAATTTGTTTCTTGATATAAGTAACAGCTAGAATATTTAACTTTGACAAAATACAGTATAAGTTAAACTAAGGAAGTTTTCAATAACAAAATAAATATACAATATTCCTCAATTAAAAATTATGCTATAAATAAAACAATATTCAATAACAGTATTCTCAATCCATCATGCTATTCCAATATAATTTAGCTTTAGCTTGTGATACATACATTTCAATTACAGTATTTTACTAATAATTCTTTGGCAAAAAATCTAAACTACCGTATATTCATGATTGATGGAATAACATCTATACAGAATTGCTTATCTTACGTCCGTGATAAGTTTATGAGTCACGCCTCAAAATCTTTGAAGCGCGTTGGACTATGTGTGTCATATTACGTCCGCAATAGGTTAATATATTTGCGTCAATTCTTACGGAAAGTATCATTCACTGAACAAACTCAGTATGTCTGGACGTGGTAAAGGAGGAAAAGGACTTGGAAAAGGAGGCGCTAAGCGTCATCGTAAGGTGTTGCGTGATAACATCCAGGGTATCACCAAACCAGCTATTCGTCGTCTTGCTCGCCGTGGTGGTGTCAAGCGTATTTCTGGTCTCATCTATGAAGAGACTCGTGGTGTTTTAAAGGTTTTCCTTGAGAATGTCATCCGCGATGCCGTCACTTACACCGAGCATGCCAAGAGAAAGACAGTCACCGCTATGGATGTCGTCTACGCCTTGAAAAGACAAGGCCGAACCCTGTACGGATTCGGTGGATAAGCTGTTCATTCATCATCTATCAAACCAAAAGGCTCTTTTCAGAGCCACAATTTGAACAAAAGAGAATGATTGCATACACAGCCTGTGTTTTGTGTCCATGTCTGATTTCTTTACCAATGCAATAATAATATAGAGTTTAGATAAAAATATGATTATCTAGGCTAGGCATTAGCCCTGCAAGTTTCACAACAACAGCGGGATCTATGTCACAGTTAGCAGTATGTTTACTGACTGGTAGCAACAATTCTGTATTTTTTTTTGGTCGATTTCGGCCTCATGACTATTTTTACATACTTTTCAAGCATAGACAATTATTGCACAGCAGTATACTGTATTGTATATTATTGTTATAGGCCTACTGTATTATAGATGGTATTATGTACTCACGCCAACTGCAAATGTGGTGCAGATAAGATTTGAAATGTGTTTTTATAAACAATAGCTTAATGTCGTTAGGCCGCCCAACGACAAAATTAAGTTGGCGCTCAAAAATTTGGCCTAAAATCAAAATTAATCCCGGACAATGTCGTCTTTGTAAGTTGTAATTTATCAGATACTGAAAATCGTGTATAATGCGCTGACATACACAATTTTTTTTAAATATAAAATAATAATAATTATCAGATAATATCAGAAACAGACAATATTTCTTGTACATGGGTCTATAAAATATGAAACAGTAAAATGTTGTCAAGACTCATTGTTGTTATTTTTCTGCCGATTTCAGGCTCAGAATGTTCTTACTTTTTTTCTTATTAATACACACATTTCAAACGTAGAAACGTTACATAAAAAATAAAAAAGTATTGTCTATAACTGTACTGTTTCATAGTCACACTTGCTGCATAAAGCGTATATATTACATTCTCTTCTGTTTAAAAATAAAATAAAAAAAAACCTCATTTTGTTCTTATATTTCAAGCAATTTCAGCCTCAGTGTTGTTTAAAAGTGATATTCTTTTTCAAGAGTAGGCCTACATGTTTGCATACGGTAACACCCTTCAATCTTTTGTAGGCCTATATATGGCCTACTGTATAAGAAGGTTTCGTATAATAATATATATAGGCCCTAGATAATATTAGAAACAAGTATGGGTTACCTGTATATCATGTGTACATGGTACACTTTTTCAAGAGCACAGAGACTGAATTGCTAAATATGAACTAAATAAGAACAAAACTGAGGCAAAATGTCAAATGAGGTTCTTATTAAAAAAAGAAAAAAAAAAACCCCAAACAAATCAAGCTATAGTCACATGCAATAAAGTGTTAATGTAAAGGTTATATCGGCAGTACAATAACAACATCCTCTTTGAAAAGTGTGTAAATATAAGTACATTTTGAACCTCAAATTGACAAATTATAGTACCTAAGAGAACAAAGAGCCTGGGCGAATTGAAAACTGCAAAATATTAAGTGAAGCATAATATACAATGAATTAATATCCCATTTAAATGTAAATAATTTGTCAGTATCAGTCATAATGTATATGTCAAATAATGTAACAATACTGTATCCTGCTATTATTAAGCTGAAAATCTGCTAGAATAGTCATACAAAAAATGTAGGCCGAGTTATGGAATTTTAGCGAGTACCATGACACAATGAGAAATTTGACACAATATGGCGGAAGACATCGGCTTTCCGTCTCCATAGTCTGTGTGCAAGTGGTCAACAAAAACACTCATGTTACACAAAACCGGTAACGAAATTTAACAAAATAACATGCTAGTTTGATTCAATATATAATTTTCTACATTTTGACATATAAATTGTTTTGTTTTTACGTATAAACAGTGTTTTACAAGCTCTGAAATAATAACTTTATTTAGATTTTGTGTTGAGGCAGAATGTTCGATTGATTTTCGTCTTTATGTGTTTTTAATTGCATGTTTTATTCATTAGAAAGTGAATATCTAATGTGTCTTTATTGTAATTAAAGTTGACTCGATTTATTTCACATATTATAAAGTATGGAAAATAAGTGATTTTTGAATAGCATCAAACACAATTTATGATGACTTTATTGTTCGAAACGTTACGAGCGCTAATAAAATACATGCTTCCGCTTCGGTCCGCATTGAGTCATTAAGTACGCGAACTTATCTAAGCATTGGTATCACTTTCAAAATTTACTTGGAAGATTTGTGTCTATCTCTGCAATTATGACTGATAAAGTACAAAAACCTAAGAAGGCTGCGGCAAAGAAGCCGTCATCTCACCCTCCTTACAGTGAAATGATTGCTGCCGCAATCTCTGCACTAAAGGAGAGGAATGGATCGTCTCGCCAGGCCATCGCCAAGTACATCCAGGCTAACTACAGTGTCGACACCAATATGAATGTCCACCTCAAGATGGCTTTGAAGCGCGGTGTTGAGAGCGGCAAACTAGCCCAGCCTAAAGGTACAGGAGCTAGTGGATCCTTCAAGCTGAACCAGGCTGCAGCCAAGGCTGACGCAGCTGCTAAGGCAAAGAAAGAAAAGGCTAAGAAGAAGGCAGCAGCAGACAAAGAAAAGAAAGCAGCCAAGAAGGCGACCAAAAAGGCTAAGAAACCAGCTGCTAAAAAGTCAACCAAAAAGGCTACCAAGACAAAGTCGCCCAAGAAGGAAAAGAAATCGAAATCACAAAAGAAGGCAAAGTCACCGAAGAAGACCAAGTCGGCTAAGCCCAAAAAGCCGAAAACCAAAAAGAAGTCGGCCAAGTCTCCAAAGAAGTCCAAGAAGTAAACTGTCATCGTCGTATCTATTCAAACCAAACGGCTCTTTTCAGAGCCATCACATTTACAAAAGAGATTTGTGCATTTTTGTTCTTGATGTATTGTGTTGTTTACTTTTTTTTTTCTTCTTCTTCTTTCTTTTAAATTCTATTATTTATAGTAAGAACACCAGTCTGCAAGCATAGTACACTTTTTTATAAGAACCAGTAAAATTTTGCCCAGGCTCAGTTTTCTTATTTTTCTGGCCGATTTTAGGCTCAAAATGTTCTTGTTTTTAGTTTACACACCTTTTAAACAAAAAAATATTTAATTGTACGGCAGAATGCACTGTACTGGAGTGTAAAAAAAAAGTGAACATCGATAAAAAAATTCAGCATAATAATTAAGTCTTTTAACTGTGCAATTTAATGTCCATATAAGGCGATAGTCTCTATACATTTTAAATAAAGTGGGCGTTAAGCCTTATTCTAGCCATCAGTTCCTTCCAGTCAGCTCAGTTAATAAATGCGTTTGTAAGGCCTACATATTTTTGTTGTACAGTATTTAATTTAATTATTTCAATTCAACCCAAGGATATAGATGGTACAAGGAATATGACGACCAATATATTAGTTCACTGTCGCCATATACATTCTAAATATCGATAGAAAACTAGAAGCCAAGACACTCTGTATAAGCTTAGGCCTAGTTGTTAATCTGGAACTTCTTTGTTTTTATTTAGGCATATATAAAATTATTGTTTGTAATTAGTATTAGAATGTCCTAATAATGATTATTGTCTATATTATATACTGTTATTGTGCATGCTTGTCCGTCCTCCATGCTTAAATGAATAGTTATGATCTAAAATAAATACACAGTAGACCAACAAAACTCCACCGGATGCAGGGGCGGATCCCGAGAAGTCCAAAGTGGGTAGGGAGGGGGAGCAGATAACACCACCCTCTGGGTGGGTGGGGTCCAAAATTTTTGTTTTCAATACACCCGAAAATAACCTCTGAGCCCTTATTCTAAATATTATTGTTATATAAATACATACGACCACATGCCGCTGATAAGGGGATGCTTAATTAATAGATTGACAATCACTTTAAATTTAATACAAGATAAAATTAGATTTTAAATATAGGCCTACGGTGCATCGGGACAGATCGGATCCACTGCTTCTGGTGAGAGGCAAAGCGCCAGTCGAGGATTGAGGGTGAATAGTTTTTGGAGAGGATGTCATTGCCATTGGGTCGATAACACCGCAGGGGTGGATTTAGGGGGAGGGCGAACCGGCCCCACCCTTTTGGGGAAAAAATAAATAAAAAATTGATAGTCCAAAACAAAAATAATAATAATATTATTATTATTATTATTATTATTATTATTATTATTATTATTATTATTATTATTATTATTAATATTAATATTATTATTAATTAATATTAATAATATTAATAATAAACTTTATTCCTCTGAATCAATGACTGATGAAACTGCAGTACATGGTATCGGCAAATAATTTTTACTCCGATGGAGGTCCATGCTTGATCGACGGGAATGAACACACTTGACTCCATTAGCTGCGTACTGCGCCATCAAGGAGGGGAGGGGGTGGTGGCAACTTAATCACACCATACTAAGATAATCCCAGTCATCCGACTTTAAAAGTAAAAATACAGTTTTAGCGCCCTCTATAAGTTCAATAATCAATCAATTATCTTTCGTTTGCCTAACAACCGTTTCCAAGCTAACGCTTTACACAAACCGCCATTTTAGAGAAAGTCGGAGCAGACAAGAATTCAACGACGGGTGTAGAAAGTTTGTATTTTTCTAGTTTTGCAAATGTTTAACGCTCCAAAAATAAGCTGTGCTACTACATGCACAGTTTGTAATCGTATTGGGTATATAGATTGAATTCAATAAGATGTTTGAAAAGGCATAATTAATGTTTAAAAAGCTAGCCTCTCGATCGACAACATTTCCACTTGCCTGGCGCAGGACAGAGAGGTTAATACAGTTGGCCTAATTAATTGATTTGGCTGCGTACACACTTCTTGCCAATGGTACTGCGTAAAAAACTTTTGTTATAATGGCGGAATCAGGTGACGCGCGATTAGACTTTATTGCAGAATATATTTTGAAATGTTACAAACTGAAACCAGATAAATGGGCAAAATGTATCGGTTTCGAAGAACAAAAAATTCTAATGATGGAGTTTTTGGAAAAAGCAGAACATCAACAGCTAATTTTCACTGTCAATTCTGCCGGATTGATCACTCCGTCATATGAATTTCCCACCTCTCTCAAGAACACTAAAGCAGTATATTTTATCAAGAAGGGAAAAGAAGCTGTTTCAAAAGATAACATTGCTAATTCTCTCGTATACGGAGACCTTGCTTATTCACCATTGGAACAACTGTCAGCACTAGTTGATGAAGTAAGTCAGTTTCAATATTTGTTGTTTGCTGTGTTTAATCTCATTTATTTATTATAACAATATTGCAGATGGGCTAGGGCCTAGGTGGGCGAATTTGTTTCGTTTCAGCCTTTTAATGTGCTGAAAACCACTCGGCAAGGTTTCGAACAAATTATGCGTTTGTTTTGTTTTGATATTTTATACATGGAATAGCATACATTTGTAAAAAAGCTGTTTTTGTGTGTGTGTGTGTGTGTACAGTTTACAAGATACTAGAACGCAACTTCATTGTGAATAAAAATGCGTTTTGCAAACTACATAAAATGAATTATTTTATATTTCATAAATTTCAATTATTTGACCCAAAAATGTAAGCAAAATCAAATAATATTGTACAATACTAATCCAACAAGGAAAAGACAATGGTTGGGGCAGATAAGTATTTATTAATGCAAATATTCACTATAATAACCAAGGCAATTCAACAAAAAGACGCACATCTCGGCACATCAAAGGTTAAATAACTTTGGTATCAACATTCTACGCGTCGCGTGCCCCTACACGCTTGACTGAGTTTAATGCGGCCTGATCATCACAAAAACCATAGCAACAGTACCCATGTGTGTGTCAGTCGCCATGATAATCACGCGTCGTGCGGTGAGTACAAAGGCCTAATGATATGTTTGCACTAATATTAGATTGAAATTATATTGTTATTTCAACATTAATTTTACCGATGTTGTGGTGTATTGTCATTTTGTTGGTCAATTTTTACAAATCAAATTGTAGTTTATAGAAGCATTGAACAAGCTCGTGGTCAAAAGAAATAAAATGTAACAGACATTGCAAAGTACCCAAAATTAATAAAATAGTAACTAACACCATAAAACATATGGCACGCATAGACTAATAATTGACGGCTGTACTCGCAACTAGAATCGGATTGTCGATGCCACAGTAAAGATCAAAGAACTGTATGCACGCGCTATGTTCGAGAGTGGAGATGTGTGTCCTTTTGGTGAATTGCCTTGTAATAACTAACAACTTTTAATTAAATTTTTAATTTAAGTGTGGTTTAAATTATGCATTTAGATCTGAAACAGGACCCTTTTTAAAAACAGACTACTTTTAATTGTGTTCTGTATAAATATGTTTTAAATAAAATAAATAAATAAATAAATAACTTTTAAATGACACTTTACAAATCTCGATTTAATAATTCTTTTCACACCACTTACGAGTCAAAGAGGAATGCAATTAAAGTGAGAATAAATATTACTTCTTATTTTCTGATTAGGTGTTGGTTCCTTTACTATCAAATCCACGGAACCATGACTCGTGGCCGAATGTAGTTTCTCAGGATGTCTTGAGGCATGTGCACAACCTGAAAAGTAATGTGTATGTTGTGGCAGGGCAGGTCAAAGGCAAGACCTTGCTCCCGCTACCTGTAGGCTCAGAGAAAGTTGAAGCCAGTTCTGTAGCTGAAGACAAGTAAGTAAATGCCAATTAACCAGAATGGTTTTGTAGGTAAGATGCATGCCCTTTAATAACATTGGCCTAGGTTCTATGCAAAACCAAAACTCTACTCACCAAACCTCATAAAGAAACATATCTGGCCTTTGGTTACCAACTGTTATGGTTTATAACAGTTGGATCACCAACTGTTATGGTTTATAACAGTTGGATCACCTCATTTAGGAAATAATTAAATGCTGTTTTTAAAAATGCTATTGGAAAGTTGATAATGGGGTTTTGTGGTTAGTTTAATGTCATTTTAAATTCTATCAAATTCATTAAATTTGTGTTTAATCTTTAGGGCTGAATCAATTGACCGTAACTTAGTGCATTCGATAGAGTCTGTCATCATAGACTGGACTCACCAGATACAGGGTGTTTTGAAACGAGACTCAGCACAACCTTTACTTGAAGGTTTGAATCCCGGACCCAATGTAGAGATCGAGTTTTGGAAAGCTAAATGTGAAAATTTGGACTGCATCTTCCAACAGGTTTGTAGAGAATAAAGAAAGTTATCTAAAGTCATCCTTGAATTTTAATATTAATTGTAAATCTTTGTACAACTTGAACATCTTCTTTTCTTATGTGTATTATGTAATGTTGGGAATAACCATGGAAAACAATTACAGTGTGAAAGTATAGGAAGGGGTTATGGTATAGTGGCGAAAACAACCACCCACTGTTAACGTGAAAAATTAATGGTAATGAAAGGCAATACGGTTGTTCAAAATAGTGTTTATTTAATACTTATTCTGGCATTTTCCTTGTATAGTATGCTTTGAAATTTATGTGATCCTTTGTAAACCTTAGCTAGCCTAGAAATCGTAGCGTAGTTTGAGGGTCGAAGACTCTTTTGCATACCTAAATAGGCCATATATATGCAGGGGCCTAAGGCCTAACAATTGTCGAAAAATCTCAAATTCCCTTGGAAGACCGGTCACACAAGGTTTGTGTGGTGAATTTCGCGACATCAACAATCGACTTAGAGTAACTTAAATCATGTTCAAAAGAACAAATACAGCAATTATGATGATCATTACAGCAGTAACAAGGGACAACCGCCATAGCAATGTCCATGTAAACACCGCTGTGCCAGTCCATTGTTTATATCCAACACACAAGTTAGGTCATGTGACGCCCGTCACCGAATCGGTCTATTGTCTAAATTTTTAGGAAGCTAAAGTAACAGTTCTTCATCTTTACCATAAATGTTAATTTGATGCAAATATTCTTTACACAATTCTTAAGGCCACCCTAAGTCTTAGGCCTAACTAAGCCTTCCTATGTTTTGTGTGTTATTAAATTATTGTTTATGTCGACAATTGACCTTCACTACGGGCATGTACGGTGAAAACTATGAATTGGCTTATTGAACGTTCTCGCTTTCTTTTATCATTGTCAAAATATATGCTCTACACAATTTGTGTCTGTTGTAAAGTCTGGAAATACTGTCTATTTTCATGACACAAAGTATTGCAATTTAAATATTGTTAAACCAAGGTAATTAACTTAACACTGGCAGTATATTATATTTAAGTGTATGTGTTACAAATAGATAATTCGTTGATTGTAACATGTTTGTTTATATTAACAATTTTCAGCTAAGAGATCCAAAAGTACGCAAGATGAAAGAGCTTCTGGAAAGGACAAACAGCAGCTATTTACCAACTTTCAAAAACATTGAGAGAGATGTTGAAGCTGGTTAGTAACATACATTTTTTCTTACTTTTTCTAAATTAAAATATACATTAAATTAATATAAATATGTAATAAAAACAATTTCAGTGACAAGGAATGAAACCAGTATATATTAAGATGATGTATTCTTCAAATTTCTAAAAAAAAATGCTTAAAATAAAGTACATACAATTTTAAATGGTAGTTGATAAACAGAACACATTAAAAAATATTAATGTTCATTAATTATATCAATTATATTGTATAAAAACTGTATTTGACCTTTATGCCCTTGGATATTGTTGCCAAGGTCCCACATAGCAGTAGCGTAATATGTACATAAACATGTGTGTTTCTGGGACGTGTGTTGGTAGGACACATGCATATTCCTGACTCGGTTCTGATTGGCCAGTTAAGTTTGATTGACAGCCCGGAAAGTTCCATTCATTGCAACAGAACTTTTCTTTTGGATTCTGTGCAGCTCTCACCGAAGCTCAAGACATCAACACACATCTGAAGCCTCTGCTCCGACACATTGATGGCTTTGAAGAGGTCGACTTCCCAGAGCTTCCTGAAAGACTTCCAGCTCTAATGCACACCGTTTGCTTGATATGGAGTCATTCTGAGTATTACAACACACCACCAAGAATCATAGTGCTCCTTCAAGAACTCTGCAATTCACTTATCAGCCAGGTAAGGCGAGACTATTATGCCTTGTTTCGCAAACTTATTTTTTTAAAGATTGTCAAAGGAGGGCAGAAAAAAATATAAAAGAATTTTGTTTTCCTTTTTAGCAAATTGTTTTGCCAAAACTTCCAGACAAAAGAGAAAATAAAAAAATAAAATGTTATTGTTGAATGTAAACAGTGTAGTAATGGAATGGTTAATTGCTTTAAATTTATATAATTAGGAAGAAATGTACATATCTTATTTTTCGAGATTTCAAGGCAGTGGCTGGTGTAATAGAAATAAAGAAACGCTTTTATTTATTTCCAAATTTTAATTTTTTTTGCAGAGGCAGGTGTAAACAAGTTAAAGTATATTGAAATTCTAGTCTAAAATGTCTTATCTAAAGGCATAAGGAATGTGATTTGCATTGGATACACAAATCCTGCACTACACTTCCACAATATTTAACCTTTTCTAGTAACCACTTCTTTTTCTTGTCTTAGTGCCGCACCTACTTGGATCCTGGAGAGCTCTTCAAAATGGAAGCAGAGGAGGCGCTTGAGAAGACAAGATCTGCCGTTGGTGTCTTGAAGATGTTCCGTAACCTCTACGAGGATCACCGCGGTAAGATGAAAGATTATTTCAAGGATGGTAAAGAACCAAGGCTGTGGGAGTTTGCTTCCCAAATGGTGTTTACTCGTATGGATGCTTTCATTGAACGCCTGGATACCCTTGAGGTTAGTTTACCCATTCATCTATCAAATGAGGGGGAAAGCAGGATAGGTTTCAGCGGAAATGATCTGTTATTTTCTACTGCAAAATTAATGCAAGCGCTCCACACTTGAATGTTTCTGTGACATAATTTGACCTATTTGAGTTAATGTTAGAATACAGTAGAACCTCCCTCCTCTGGGACACTTTTTCAGCCACAAAAACGAGGGAAAGTATATCTTACACTACGGCTAACTCCTATTCAGATGACCCCAACTATTAAGGGGACACTTTTTATCCTGAAGGTGTCCATTTATTAGGGGCTTTACTGTATTTGGATAACCAAAAAAAGTATTTTGTCGCACCTGTTGGTGAGTTGGGCAGCACATTGTAAGAAAATCATCAGTTTTTTTAACTAGCGCAATGCTTTATGGACGGACGTGCTCCACACATGGCCTTGAGTAAAGGTTACTTTGCCTTACTGCTCATATGGGAAATTATTTATGAATAGATATTAATATAAAACATTGGATTTGATTTTCATACTATTTTAGAAACTCTTTGAGACGACAGTTGAATTCAGCAAACTAGAGAAGACTGAAATGGGTGGCATGAAGGGCAAGATGCTTGGGAGTATGGTAGAGAAGGTCCATGAAGAGTTCCAGGAATATGTGAAGATATTTGGAGAGCGACCATACGATGGCCTGGATCCTCAGTGCCAAGTAAGCCAGCCTAGAGTTATCATTGTTAATCTTATTATCATTACTGTATTATTTTCATTATTATTATTATTATGATTATTATTATTATTATTATTATCAATCATTGTTTATGTTTTCATTTTATAAATATCCTTATTATTATTATTATTCATTGTTATTTGTTTGTTTGAATGTGTCTTTTCCTTTTTACTGTTAGGCCGTGGAGTAATTTTTTGATAAACCTAATTAATCTTCAATTTTTATATCTTCAATGTTTTTTTTATATGTTCAACTTCAATTTCACAATATTGGAAATTTTAATAAAGTTTATTTGAAATTAAATTTATTATTTATTATTTATTATATATTCAGGAAAAAAATATATGATTTTTTTCATGAAAATATATCTTGTATGATTACGAGTAAAATTTAAGTGACATTTAAGATGAAATTAAAAAAAAATATATACAAATGGGATTGCAGGGAATGATTTAATAATATGGCAGTCCTGGTAGAAGATAAACATTTCATTTTAAGTACAACAAAAATGTATGAGATTCTGGTGATTTCTTTAATGTTTAATGATGATTTTTAGGAATTCATCGATGATTATAGCAACTTCGAAAAGCAAGTGTACGACTTAGATCGCAGACTGGGATCAATCCTTTGCCAAGGCTTTGATGACTGTTCTGGTCTTGAAGCCAGTTTCAAGGTAGTGTATATTCAATTTATGTATTATATCTAAGGTCTGGTAACAACTGAATGTCCAGCCCTAAATTTTATTTTACAAAAATATGTGACATGCCTGAATATGGTCATGGTGACATCACATCATGACCATATATAGACACATCATGACTATATATAGGTATACACAAGTTTTTTGATAATCTGGACAGGGTTTAAATAATGCAAATTGTAATCAGTGGTGGTGGCGGTGTCCTGGGTGGAGAGTGGCCGTATATTGTGAGATTTTCACTGCCTCCCCCAGCTTGGTATGATCGTTGGAAAGTGGGTCCACTGTGCTATAACCTACTTAAATTACACAGTGTTGTTTATTACTGAAATGGACTGTGTGGAAGGCTTGTGTCTGTCAAATCAGAAATATAGTATAAAATCAACCAATCTTTTCATCCATAGTGTTTTTGTTTCACTATATTTGCTATATTTTTCAAAATTAATTACTTCAAAGATAGGAATAAATGATACATTAGGGAAAATGTTAGCTCTGCACCTATCATGTACAGGGTTGTAGCTAATGAAAACTAAGGGTGAGCATAGATATTTTGAGGGTGGGTGTGTGATAACGTAAACTCTAGATAATACAATTGGATTATAAGGATGGAAAAATGGGTTAATAAGGGTGGGTGGAAGGCCATGGAATTGTCTTTAAACTGGGTGGAAAACTTCAAGGCTGGGTGGGCCCGCCCACCTCCGCCCATTATAACTACATCCCTGCATGTAAAGGTAAACTAGTTATAACTAAGTTATCAACTCAGCCATTTTTTTTTGACAATCACCATAGATGCTGGATTGTTATGGTCCAATCCTCGACAGACCTGTGATCTGTGAAGACTTCGAGCACAAGTATCCCGTGGTCTTGCGCCTCTACAACGAGGAACTTGACAAAGCAAAGGTGATCTATGACGATCAGATGAAAGCGTGCGAGGACTCGGAGAATAAACCTCCACTTCATAAAAACTTTCCAGAGATAGCTGGTGCTCTCAAGTGGGCTAAGGAACTCCGAATGAGAATCGATAAACCTATGGGAAGCTTCAAACACATAGAACATCCGTAAGTGTGATCTGAGATTTTGCAACCTTACGAAAAGGATTACGAATACGTCATCGTCATTCGTACCTAAAACATTCTTGACATTATACTGTACGAGCTCAATATAACTCTTGATTCATGCAAAAAGCATGAATTGTCTACTTGTGACAGACATGTTACTATAGGGGAAGGGTTTTCTAAACATTTGATGATGTAATTGTATTCATTATCATTTCCGTAAGCTTGCGAAAATCCCAATATAAGTTTACATCTACTACAAGTATTCCATAATATTTCACAATATTTCAAAAATGTTAATATTGTCTGCATGCTTAGTATTAACTGCATGTGCAATGTAACTAAGGATTCATGCCCTGGTAACATGTTGCTATGCATTCATTGTTAATGTGATTTTTGCCAAGCATCCATTGTCACAGTAATATGTTTCTATTGTATGCATCCATGCTGAGTATTGTATTGCTATGCATCGATTGTCATGGTCTGTACTCTGCATGCCCTAGTTCTACTGTCCTATTTATGGAAACATTGGCAAGTGTCAAAAAAGTGATGAATGCATTTTAATAATTTTTAAATTATCATGAATTCTCATTATTAAATTGGCTGCAGATTTTTGTTCATTTGCTATGACTAAAGAAAGATACTTTTTGACTATATTATTCTGTGTAAATTTTTAAACTTTATTAAAAAAACAAATTGATATTTGCCACTTCAGTATCTATTATGCTGGAGATAATTATTTTGTTATGTATGTATTTTCATGGCATAACATGTAATGACTATGTATCTATGTCGTGTCATGTTACTACACATCTCTATTGTTATAGTTAACCCATGCTATGCATGCAAACCTAGGGAATACATGGCTTTGTACCCATGCCATGTCTATGTATATATGCTACATAGCTCCATAATACCTGGCTCTAACATATGGTAATTGCATACATGCCTTTATGCGTATTTTTCCTGTCACTTTTTTTTTACATGCATTGAGATGTCTGATGCATCTATACAGATATATTCAATGTTACGTTCAATTTGTTTATACTTTACACTGCATATCAATTTTCCCAATTATTTTGTATCTCGGTTAATTGTTCCTGACTTGTTCCTGGGTATGTTCACTGTAGCACTGGCATAAAGAGGTAAACATTAAGAACGCTATACGTTGATTGTTATTTGCTTTGCAGTCGCTAACTTAACATCGTGATTATTGTGTGCTGTCAAACGTATACCAGATATTGTTTTATATTATATAATATCCCTACTGATGCTTTCTTTGCTTTTGATGTTTTATTTTCATTTTGCTGGAAATAACTGTGCTTACTATTATTTAATACATAACAAATTTCAATTTATTTAAATATTTTTATTTTTATGTGTTAAAATATATTACACTCTAATTTTCTTTAAACAATGTTATAGTTTATATATATATATATATATATATATATATAAAGTCAATCTTATTTTACATGCCAAATTGTTGTGTTTTCCATTAATTAACAATCTGTAAGTCAAATTTCATCTACGTCGAACAATATTTCAGTGGTCATATATCTTTTGCTCTAATGAAAATATATCACTTTATTGCACTATCAGTGTATCCAGCGGCGGATTCAAAGATGTCCAAAAAAGGGGCCACGAAATTTTTGTTTTCTAGACGCCTAAAAATAACCTCTTAGGCGTTTTGGGCGATCTTTTTTTTTCTTTTTCTTTCTTTTTATTTTATTACTCAACACTTCAGAACAGGACTGAACCAGTAAAATTGTTCGTATTTATTTTGTGTGGGCATATAATTATATAAAATATTTAGCAAGCAAAAATATAAAAACTTGAATCTGCTTCTCTTAAGGTATGTTCACACTGTTAAGTTTTCTATGACAAATATCTGTAATTTGACCATGATACATATCATAGTGTAGACAGAACCTAAACTATATTTATTGAAAGCACAAATTCAGCTGCATCTTAACAAGGTACTCTTTTACATAGACCATTAAATTGGATTGTTTCTGCACATCAATGAAAATATATTTGTTTTAATGTGTGTATTTATTTATTTATTTTATTTTTGTTTATTTATGAAAATTTGGTAGACAACCTGGGGAGGCTAGATAGCCACATAATCGTCATGACTAGTGGCTAATAATTAGCCTCCCCTTAACTAAACTTAATTTAAAAACAAACATAAAACATATTAAAAAAAAAAAAACCAAAACAAGACAGCATAGAGTTTAATTTTTAAAGTATTTAATAATTTTTTTTTTTTTTTAAGTGAATGTAGTTTTCAAGTCTACCACTGATTGTGGTCGACTGTAACAGAGTAAAATAACAAATGGATAAATTTATTCTGTAAATTGAACAACAAAGGAATCAGAATGGTTTAAGCGAGTTGATTGTCGTCTGGGCTAAACTAAGATACCAGGAATATAACTGTTTGATGTTGCAATTGAATTTTCCGAGGTTGTTTTTCATATTTTAAATGCCGTTTATTATAAGATGCTTAATTCTAATTGCTTCTTACTGGTGGTGATGCACTAATATACTCACAAAAAATATTATCACAGCACTGTTTCTTTCACACTGTTTTAAATGGTTTTTAATGATTTGATATCACATAGCAAACTTCAAATTCTATGTTTTTTTTTTGCTAACTTATTCCAGGTTTGAACTATTGGTTGTTAAATATTGAATGAAAATAATAAGTAATAAATTTTTTATGTAAAAAATACATTTGACACTTTTTAAATTTCTACTTTTAATTAAAAAATTATATTTACATTTAAAAGAACAACCCATTGCTGATTTAAATACCCTTGATTATTTGTTTGTATAGAATAATGCAAACTGAAGATGCTGCAGTAATTTTTAAGAAGTATGAGGAGATGATGGAACTCCTTGGCAAGTAAGTATAAAAAAAGACTTGGCCTAAAAAACTATTTTCTTCAGATTGTTAGGAATCTAGACTTTTTTGCTAAGCCAACCTAGTTTTTATAAGGTCCACAAAATGACTGCTGTGACATACAGTCAAGAATATAAGATCAGTTGAATTACCTATTACCGTACTCGCGCGAATAAGCGCCCCGTTTGAATAAGCGCCCCTCTCAAATAACCGCCCCTCCTAACGTGAAAATTTCCTTAAGCACCCCGTTTGAATAAGCACCCCCTTCTAAATTTGAATAAACGCCACCTCAATAATTCAATCAATCCTGGACTGTGAATGTTGGCATGATTTGAGGTGTGGAGTGGAATCACATTCTCCTTTAGTCAATATCAAAATGAGTATATTTATCTTGGACAGATGAGAGCTCCCTGGACAGACATATATTTCCAACTTTCATCTTTTTACATTGCTAATCTCAATCGGCCGATGGCCAACAAGCTAACCACCACCACTAATTTCATCTGCTATTCTACTGTAATGGTCTATTTCATGAATACTTACCTGGATAAACCGACTAATTGCCATTGTTCCCAAACAGAACACCCCTTCGAAATAAATGGAACAGTCCGACCCAGGGCTTGTCATGACAAGCATGCTCTCTGGACGATTATCTTTTCCGCCGCACCACCATTCGCAATTTGTGGTTTCCTGATGTCCTTATATAATCGTTTTTCATTCAAAATGTGCTTCTTGAATTTAATAAGTTCTCATAAGAACCCCTCGATTTTCTTCCATTTCCATAAGCACCCCCTAAATTTCCAATCTGTTTTAATGAGCGCCCCATTCAACTAAGCGCCCCGTTTGAATAAGCGCCCCTCAAAAGGTGCAAAAAAATATTTTAAGCGCCCGGGCGCTTATTCGCGCGAGTATGGTACCTTTTTCTCTGTTTTGTGTATATCACCAACTGCTACTTCCACCACTAAACAACTATTTTCCATACGAAAAAATTTCAAGTGTAGTAATTTTATTTCAGGTATGAGGTAAAGGTATATGAGAGCTGGACAGCAAATGTAGATGATGTGTGTTCTGTAAATCTTAATCAGCCACTGATCATACGCAACAAAGAAAGTAAGCTGATCTCAGTGAACTTTGACCCTAAACTTGTGGCTGTCCTGCGGGAAGTAAAGTATCTTAATATTCGAAGTGAAGAAAAGATTCCAGACAGTGCGGCAACTATTTATTCTAAACATGAAACACTCCGTCAGTATGTGGCGAACTTGGACTTAACTGTGCAATGGTATAACCGAGTCAGAGAGACGGTGCTAGAGGTGGAATTCCCACTTGTTGAAAGCCAACTTGCTGACATTGACACTCAGCTTGAGAAGGCTGAGGATAATTTAAATTGGAATCAGGAAGAAGTTTGGGAGTACATCCAAAAAACGAGGGACCAGGTTCATGATTTAGAAAAGAGGGTACAAAAATGTAAAGACAATGTTGATGCCATCAAAAAGATAATGGAAGAATGGAGTAAACTTCCATTGTTTGAGAGGAAGGAGAACAAAACTGAATCTCTGTTGTCACTGGATGACAGAGAATCCAAGATCACCAAGAGGTATGCAGAGATCACAGCTGCAGGAGAGAAGATCCACGCTCTTGTCAAAGTAAGTTTATAACCCTCTCTATACCAGGTTTCAGTTTGGCAAATTAGTTTGTGTCATCTGCTACATTGTCTCTGTCTATAGGTGCATCTGTGTAAGATTAGTATATGTGTAATGTCCATGTTAAAAAAACAGGAAGGGTATTAATGTCTTGCTGAACTTATTACGAGGCTGGAACTTTTAGCATCTTGAGACAACCAGTAGGCTTTCAATCTCTGATTATATTTGATTCTTATTTTAGGAAAATCTTGAGCTTTTCAAAGCCGATGCATCATCAGATATCTGGAAGGCATACGTGGATTACCTTGATGACATGGTGGTGGATGGTTTCTTCAACTGCATCCATTGCAGTCTGAACTTCCTTCTGGAAAACACTGATAGCAAGACTACTTTAGCGCCTGTCTTTGAAGCACGCTTGGAGTTACAGGTTCCTGACATGGTCTTCCAACCTTCTCTAGATTATGGTATTGCTGATGGTTTCTATGACCTTCTGGAGATGCTTGTCAGTGACATCTATAAGATGGCATCACTGGTCAAGAGATTGGCAGAACACAGTGGTGCAGAGCATTATCAGGTTTTGTATCGTTTGATTCAATAATGTTGTCTTTCTAATATCCTCTTGTTATTTTATTTTCTTAATCTGGTAAAAACAAATCTCAGAATTTAATTTAAAAGGAATGAAACAATTCAGTTTTTACTTATTTATTTCCGCGAATTTGTAATTTTTTTACCAGGCAATGTAAAAGTTGATTCAAAGAATCTCTTGATTGGTGTGAAACCTTATTATTAAGCTAATAACTACTAAATTTTACAATGTATACATTTTTAAGTAATAAATTTCAAAGTTTAAGTTTATTAGCTTAGCACAGATGGTATATATTTGATGAACGTAAGATTTTCAGTATCAGAGATTTCAAGAATGGCACACCAGTAAACATCATTTTTTTGCCTTCAGACTGATCTGGAGGATATGATGGAACTGTCTGACATGCGTCAAGAGATGATGGATAGGGTACAGACTATCATGAACAAGGCCCAAGAGTACCGCAATTCATATGATGGCTATGCTTACCTCTGGGTAGATGACCGGCAAGAGTTCATGCGCCAGTTCCTTCTGTATAACCACGTTCTCACTACAGAGGAGATCGAGGCACATGCGGAAGATGGCGTTCCAGAATGCCCACCAACTTTAGAACAATTCAAAGAACAGGTAAATTATTGCATCACTGAAGTCAAGTCAAATAACTTTAGAACAATTCAAAGAACAGGTAAATTATTGCATCACTGAAGTCAAGTCAAAACTTCTAAGGTGAAGGAGAGACCATATCAGAGAGATCTGGTATGATAACCCTTCTTAAACTCTTGGTTTTCCCCCTTGCAGCACACACCTGCATCTTTACTGACTTCAGGGAGACAAAAGTAAATATTGGAAATTATCATTTCCAATTTACAGGAGGACTGTTAACATTTGTTAGTTAAATATTTTATAATATTTTATATTACTGTCATTTTTCATGACTTCATTAGGTTGATACATATGAGAAAATATATGGTGAAGTAGATGAGATCATTCCAGTACAGACATTTGACTGCTGGTTCCGTGTCGATGCCAAGCCATTCAAACAAGCTCTACTGAATATTATCAAACGATGGAGCTTCATGTTCAAGCAACATCTCATTGACCATGTCACAAACAGGTAATTGAATTACAATTTTAATTGGTTGGGAGAACAATTGCAAAAGCCAATTTGATCTATGTATAAATTCAGTGTTTTAATTGATTTTATTAGATATCCTTGTTAATAGATGACCCTACAATTGCTGTAGGAGTGATGTTTTGCCCTACCTGACATGTAATCATACTAAATACTCAGTACGTTCCTTAATAAGAAAATAAAAATTTGCAAGTGATTCGGGTGGAATCGAACCTACAACCTCCAGATAACTAGCCTGGTGTCATAACCACTAGACCACCGAGGTTGTGATTAGGGACTATTATTATTATTGGAATCGAAAGTATTAAAAAAGTTATAAATGACAAAATCAGAATGTCCAAAACTAGTTTAGAACTGTACAAACATAATTTGAAATGTGATGCTAATTATTCCACTAGTCTTGCTGCTCTTCAAGACTTCATCAAAGTTGCAGACAGCGGGCTCACCAGCCAAGTTGAGGAAGGTGATTACGATGGCTTAGTAGATGTCATGGGTCATTTGCTGGCAGTCAAAGAACGTCAATCAACCACTGACGTGATGTTTGAGCCGTTGAAGCAGACCATCGAACTACTGAAGACATACGACCAAGAGATGCCGGATGAGGTTCATCTACAGCTGCAGGAATTACCGGAGCAGTGGAATAACACCAAGAAGATTGCCATCACCGTCAAACAACATGTGGCACCGTTACAAGCCAGCGAGGTTGCAATCATCAGACGTAAATGCACATCATTTGATGTAAGTAGTTTGTATGTGTGATGTGTATTTAAACATTAAAGCATGAAAGAGATCCAAAACCATGAATGAAAAGCAAATTGCATGTTTTTTTTTTTTTCTCTCTGGCACATAAAATCAGTATTTATTTAGAATTAATAATAATAATACATTCGAATCAAGTCAATTGTGACGGACTGGACAGGTCTTTATAATTCACAGCATCATGAAACATCTAACAAAAGAAAGACATGTGATATATTTGATCAGACATGTCTGAAACAAACACTATCAAACAGTCATTGCCTTCAGAACCTGACAGACAAACATCTGACATGCCTAAATATGGTCATGATGACATCACATCTTGACCACTTGGGCATACAGCAGTTTTTTGTCTAAGAAAATTTCATATCTGAACAGAGCTTTAGAATGTTGAAGAATGTATTTTAGTCACCATTATGTCAGCATTTACCTTTTAATTAATAAACAAAAGTGTAAATTAAAAATATTTAATTTATTCATTACAGGTTAAGCAACATGAATTCAGGGAACGATTTAGGAAAGAGGCTCCATTTAGGTTTACATTCGAACAGGCATACCCAGCTCTTGACACGGTAAGTCATAGTATACTTATAAATTATTAAGGATGTAATTTATATTTAGATGTATATGTGTTTTTTCCAATGGGAATTATTTGCATAAGATTTAACTAATTTTATCTTGATAAATTATAGATTTCTGGAAAAATGGCAGATTACTGCTTGGGTTTTTTTTTTATAGAAAAAGAAAAAAACTTCTATTCAACAATTTGAAATTTTCTTTTACAGTGCAATCAGGAAATATTTGAGATGGAAACAGAGATGGCTTCTCTACAGGACTCGGCCGGTTTGTTTGAGGTCAACGTACCAGACTACAAACAGCTGAAGGCTTGTAGGAAAGAAGTCTGCATGCTGAAGACACTCTGGGACATGATTATTTTAGTACGCTCCAGCATCGATGACTGGAAGACCACCCTCTGGCAGGAGATCAATGTAGAACAAATGGAGATGGACTGCAAAAAGTTCGCAAAAGACATCCGAAGTCTCGATAAAGAGATGCGTGCCTGGGATGCTTACTGCGGTCTGGACTCAACTGTAAAGAACATGCTGACATCACTCCGTGCTGTCAGTGAGTTGCAGAATGCAGCCATCAGGGAGAGACATTGGCAGCAACTTATGCATGCCACTAAGGTGAATAAAAAGACAGTTATAATAAATTGCTTTAATTAATTGCTTGTGTAATCTATTTATTTACCTTGTGATGGCGATGACACAATGGTGGCCACTACAAGTACCATCCCGTAAAATCAGCAATGCGTATATCAATCAATTACAATACAAGGTAATTTGCTACAACAAAATTAATTTAACTAATATTTTAGGTGCTCTCATTCTCTCAGGAATAAAGGGTTTACATTTTCATTAAAGTAAATAATTTTAATGAATATTTAATTTTATAATTCTAGGTTAAATTCCTAATGGATGAATCAACCACACTTGCTGATCTTCTCGCTCTGAACCTTCACAACTTTGAAGATGAGGTCCGCAACATCGTTGATAAAGCTGTCAAAGAAATGAGTATGGAGAAAGTGCTGAAGGAACTTGATGTCACATGGACTCAAATGGAGTTTGAGTATGAAAAACATCCAAGAACTGGTGTACCAAACCTCAAGTCTAGTGAAGAATTGATAGAAACTCTTGAAGACAACCAGGTAACTAGCCTTTCTAAAATGACAGGTCTAGTCTATTTCGTGAATATTTATCTTGAGAGGTATTTTTTGTGCTTTCCTCATCCAGTTTATCTCATCTTCCAACTTACTTTTTGTTCTTCCTTGATGTCTCAAACTAGTTCTTGGCATCTGGGCTGCTTTCCTTTTCTGTGATTTTTCTCTCTTACAAAATGGCTCAGGACAATTTTTGTTAGCTTGTAAATTGCAGGTGATCGTTCTCTTAGATGAAGACAACATGCTGAACATTGCATCAGACATTGACATTTTTTTTTTTGAGGATGAGAAAATGTGCCAAACATATTACCATCTCCAATCCTAATAACAAATTAGGATTACTTACAAATGGAGGTTCTTTCTCTGTTAATTGTTGATGGAATCAAATATTTAATCATGTAATCAATTATTTCTTGATCGGTAGGTTCAACTTCAAAATCTGATGACATCGAAATACATTGCTCACTTCCTCGAAGAGGTCTCTGGTTGGCAGAAGAAACTCTCTACTGCAGACTCTGTCATCAGTATTTGGTTTGAGGTCCAGAGAACGTGGTCCCATCTGGAGAGTATATTCATTGGGTCTGAAGACATTCGTAGCCAGCTGCCAGAAGATTCTAAACGTTTCGATGGCATCGACACCGATGTCAAGGTAAGGCAGGTTAACATCCTGAGCACTAGATCCATATTGACTAACATTAACATACAATGTGCAACTTCCTCTGGTTCCTGTGGAGCATTCAGCATACAGACCAAGATACATTTATTTTTTTCAAAATAAATCTTTACAAAGAATCATAACACATAATTGATAATTCTTTTGCAGGAATTGATGTATGATGTTGAGAAAACTCCAAATGTGGTTGAAGCCACAAATAAGAAAGGTTTGTTTGACAAACTGGAAGACATCCAGTCAAGGTAAAGATCATTTCTTTGTCTGTGTTCTTTAGGTAAAAGTAGTAGTCCTGTTGATGGCATTAAATTTTGAGAATGATCATTTCAATTATGATAAAGATTCAAGGTTCAAGAACAACTTTTTGTCCCATTTTAAAATAGGAAATTTAGTTTTTCTTTGCAACAGACCTGGTTAAAAATGATAAAATTATATTTATATAGAATCACAAGACAAAACAGCTTGGCAATGATGAGAAATTGTGATGATGTTGAGGATTATGATGTTGATGGTTATGAGTCTATTTCGTGAATACTTACCTGGATAACCGACTAATTGCCATTGTTCCCAAAACGGAACACCCCTTCGAAAAAAATGGAACAGTCCGACCCAAGGCGCCACGTGCGAACCGTCTCCCTAACAAACGTCCTCATCCCTTTTCGACGTTGTTCGAAGTTGGATACATTCTAGCCTTTGAAATTACTAGCAGTCTTTTCAAGCAATTCTGTTCTTATTTTGCCTTGGATTTATTTTCAACTTGACAAGATATCCTTTTTTTATTGTAGTCTCGATCGGCATGTCCGATCGAGATGTTCTGTTGTTAATTCATGAGAATTAAATATTGCAGCTACTTTTTAAAATTTAATTAATTTAATTTTGTCTATAAGATTTAATGGCAAGAAGCACATATTATATAAAATTTATTCTCAAATTTTGAATCTAATTGATATTTTTTAGGTTGTCACTGTGTGAGAAAGCCCTTGCTGAATATCTCGAAACTAAGCGATTGGCGTTCCCACGTTTCTACTTCGTTTCATCGGCTGATCTCTTGGATATTCTCTCAAATGGAAACAATCCATCAACAGTAAGAATTGTTGATCAATATTTTGTATTTTTTAATATACATATTTGCGAAATCCTCAATAGGGAGCTGGGCAAGAAGAAGCATAAGAAGTAATATACTATTAGTAGTACTAAACCTTTTTTTTGTTTTCTTTTTTCCAAGAACTTCCTCACATTTGCAGCATAGAGATTATGCGCTGTGTAAGTTTGCATTTAAAATTTATTATCATTGTTAACTTAAATATTATAATTATAATATTTTCAGGTCCAACGTCACTTGTCTAAGCTGTTTGATAACATGGCGAGTTTGAAGTTTGAGCAAGACGATGAAGGAAACGACACCAAAATCGCCATTGGAATGTACAGTAAAGAAAAGGAATATGTTGATTTCAACCAGCCTTGCGAATGCACAGGACAGGTGAGTCTAAAGAGGGACATCCAGTACTCAAAATGTCTCGCTCTTATTTCGTATTTACTGTCTTTTTGTTTCACATCCAGTACCTAGTATTACTATAATATGGTGGCGACCAATGAAGTTTTTTTAGCATCTCCTATTTTCCATTACTTATTTTTATCTCTCTAATCAGTGGCATATTAGTAGTCTTGAAATGGTAGGGGGTGGGGAGGCATGAAGATGGAGTGCGGGATCGATGATTA